AGGGAGTAGCTATGAAATAAGGACCCCGGAGTGCCACCATTGATTTCCTGAATCGATGGGAGCAAACTACCCCGAGATTCAGTTCATTCACAGATGAGATTGTTCAGACAGAAGACCAGGAGGGTCAGGAGAGAGTGATGTTCTGGTATGCATCTTAGGAGACAGACAAATGATGGCGCTGCAGCTCTGTCCTTGAGGGGTGAGCAGCAGCAAGGAGAACGGGCCTTTGCATTCGTCACTACTGAAATGTAACCCGTCTAGTCCACACCTATCCCAGGGGTAGCGCCTGAAGCTGCAGACTTGCATGGTCTTCTCAAGGTCAGTAGGTGGTAGGCAGCTGAGCAAGGTCCAAACCCAGTTTCCTTGACACCGGTGACCATTTTCACTTCTGTGTTTATGGTTGTATTGTGTTATAAAGGAAAGTGACTTATATATTAAGCACATTTCCAACTCATCGAGAAATAACCCAGAACTGGTTAATAACTAGTTCTCTGAAAGAGCCAGGCATTTGGAAGTATGAAATGATGTCTTTTTCGGCTGAATCACAATGTACTTATCTTATCACCTTAGGATCAGGTGAACTGCTATGATTCAACTGTGTGGTTACTAAGAACTTAAAACTCACTGCTATTGAGTTGACCTCAACTCAGAGAGACCCTGTCGGACAGGGTAGAATTACTCCTGTGAGCTTCTGAGACTGTCGCTTTTAACCATGACATGGTAAAGGCTGGTGGTTTGAATTGCACACCTTTCGGTTAGCAGACGGTGTAACTGCTGCGCCACCAGGGTTATTCGTAACGGAAATGCAAAATCCACCACCAGTCACCAGCCAGGAAATGGAAGGAAGAGCAACAGTCCTGTGAGAAAGATAAAGCCCGATTGAAGTGACAGTGAGAGTGTGTGGACTTGTCAAGGAAGCTCCCAGAAATAAGCCCGGGTGCGGCAGTCACCACGCACGAACGTAGCTTTTCTCTCTGTGGCTTTGTTCCCACCCACCAAGTGAAATAGCCGGTCATTCAGTCCTTAACAAATGGGGCCTTTTTGTTTTCTTTTAAAAATACTGCAGGGACTGGGGGAGGAGACTTTTACGATAGAAGAGATGTGAGCAAAAGGCTAATTCATAAAATGGGAAAGTTGAGCTAAAATCTTGCAAACAAGCCCTTTTAGAGTACATCAGGGGCCCTGCTCTACTCTAGCGACCTAATAAACACGGGGCTCTCTGCTCTGATAAAACCATCGCCAGCTTCAAGGAGGACTCTTGCTGGCCCTTCCTTATTTTTAAGCCTCAACTCTCCTTTGGAGACTAAATATCCTTTACCGTCTAGATTGTTATAAATAATGCAGCAGCAGACGATTCCCTGGAGGAAAGTCAAGTTTTAGCTCTCTGAGACCTGCAAACTAGCACAGGCTTCCATTGTCCCTGCTTCCATTTCCCACCTCTCCTTGCTTGTTCTGTATACTTGGCAGTCCATTCATGAATGTCTTGTGGCATGACTCGGCAGATCACATTCATGAATGGAACAGAATAGACTTCTCAAGGGGCATTGATGTCTTCCGCTCTGCTAACAGCGAGGCAGGTGGAAGTAGCAACCACTCACCAGAAGGTGGCGTGCAAAAAGATGGTACCAAGTTTTGCAGTTACGGTTAGCTTCCCAGGTCTGAAGAATTATCCGCAGAACATTTATATCTACAATGTGTTTCTACTAAACATACTGATGTGTTTCAGTAGGAAAAGGATGGGTCCACAGTTGAGCCCTGAGGACCTACTGGAGTCAGAATCCAGTTTACTGGCCAACAGCCCTGATTGTGACTCTGGCCTCTAGGTCTTGCTGTAAGTCATAGACAGAAGCAGAAATGGAGCCTCAGGTTCCTGAGAGCTCTTTCCAGCTACCAATCCATAAGTAAATTTCCGTCATGTACTCTTCAAGCTCAATCCTTGGGCCTTCTTTTCAAGAGGGTGGGGTAAACATAATAAATGCTCCTTCTTCCTCTTCTGCGCAGTGCAAAAGACATGAAGCATCGACTAGGCGTCTTGCTGCAGAAGTCTGATTCCTGTGAGCACAATTCTTCCCACAAGAAGGACAAAGTTGTCATTTGCCAAAGGTAAAAGAGAAACCCTCCGGTGTTAGCGATATTATTATGGTGGAGCTATTCCAGAGGAGGAAAGGATGTTAAACCGCTAGTTGAGTCAGACCAAGGTCAAGGAGTCCTCTATTTTCATGGACATTAGAATTGAATTAGACATTTCCATATATTTAGTGCAAAGGGCATCCTATTCTATAAAAGTGCTCATAAGAATGAAAATAAAATTGCGCTTTGTATTTAGGATTGTTCATTTCTTCTCCTAATTTTTATCATGATCTTTAAGTCATTCTTTTTTGTAATTCTTCTAGGGTGAGCCAAGAAGAGCTCAAGAAATGGGCTGAATCCTTGGAAAATCTGATTAGCCATGAATGTAAGTCTGACAGCTTCCCACTGCTCCCCCACTCCACCCGACTACATCCTCACTGTCAAGGTTAAGATAAGGGCACTCTGGGTAGGACAAAACCTTTCATCCTATGCTGGCCCTAAAACAATAACTGCAGAAAGACCTGTGTTCCTTCTGACTATAGACTCAGGTGTGCACTTATTTTCAGTAGGCTTTAGCACCGGTTCTCAAGTTGTGGGTCGCGACCCTTTGGGGGTCAAGCGACCCTTTCACAGGGGTCGCCTGATTCATAACAGTAGCAAAATGACAGTTATGAAGTAGCAATGAAAATAATGTTATGGTTGGCGGGTCACCACAACATGAGGAACTGTAGTAAAGGATTGCAACATCAGGAAGGTTGAGAACCACTGCTTTAGAGCCTTGTGATATAACCTGGGAAGGCTGACCATGTAGGAAACTGTCTCTCTTGCCACATAAAAAGAGAAGAAATACAGAAATATTGAAATCTTCTCGCAGAGTCAACCTCAATGTTTCTTTCTCAAACCCACTTAATTGGAAGTTTTTTAGGCATTTCAGAAGCAAAACACTTTTATTAAAAGTGTTCATTGCTTCTTGAAAGAGGCTTCTTATCTTGAGCAAGAACTACTAAGTACAGTTGGGATTCAGTAGATATCAGATGCATATCAAGGTTACCTGATCCCAAGTAGCCCCAGAGTAGCTGGGAAAGTCTTAGTTTCTCAGCACTTTAGTTTTTTTCTGAAACATCATATTCAAGAGGCTACGGTCAATGTGATGATAACTGTGGTTCCTTCTCCTATGTCACAGGTGGACTGACAGCTTTCAAAGCTTTCTTGAAGTCGGAATACAGTGAGGAGAATATTGATTTTTGGATCAGTTGTGAGGAGTACAAGAAGATCAAATCAGCAGCCAAGCTTAGTCCCAAGGCCAAAAAGATCTACAATGAATTCATCTCAGTCCAGGCAACCAAAGAGGTGGGCTTCCTGGCAGAGAGCTCCCTGGGCCTTATTGAAACTTTCTATTTGCAGTAACCAATGGGATTGGGTCTTTCGATCTTGTGAAAGGAAAGGGATTCCTAGTCGAGCAGGCCATTGTATTCTTGACCATTCCCAATGAGCCAGTAAAGAAAAAGTTCTTTCAGCTAGATGACTAGTTGAGCATGCTGGATGAAATATTTTTGGTGACCCTTCCCAGTTTGTGAGTGAGAACAGAAAATACTGAGCTACTCACTCCTCTTTCATATGGGCCAGGGAGAAGTCTGAATGCATGTTTTCCCTTTTCTGGGGCAGGGGTTGGTTGCCCAGTCATTGCTCGGTAGGAAGCATGAAGCCTCCCAGCTCAGGAGGATGAGTTGTGTAAATGGCCTTTGTTCTTCAGGTGAACCTGGATGCTTGCACTAGGGAAGAGACAAGTCGGAACATGCTGGAGCCTACCATAACCTGCTTTGACGAGGCCCAGAAGAAGATCTTCAACTTGATGGAGAAGGATTCATACCGCCGCTTCCTCAAGTCCCAATTCTATCTTGATTTGATCAACCCTTCCAGCTGTGGGTCAGAGAAGCAGAAAGGAGCCAAGAGTTCTGCAGACTGTGCTTCTCTGGTCCCCCAGTGTGCCTAATCCCACTGGGAGGTGGATGGCGGAAATACCAAGACTTGGCTCTGGAAAACTGAGGCCGCATATTGATCTGTATTAAGCACCAATGCTTTAACCATGTTGTAGCCTAGTCTCCATGCTGCCCAGCATGTGCGAGCCACTCTCATGTAGAAACTAGATTCCATTTTGATGTGTTGGTGTTCATTGGGACAGGACAACATTCCAGTCCAATTTCCCCCAATTTTTTTAGGGTGCCATTGGAGCAAGTTTCCAAATATTGGCCTTGTAGGTCTGACTTTTCAAAGATCATTGGGTCTGACTTTTCAAAGATCATTGGGAGGGCTCTCAGCCACCAGTGTGACCTCAGGGTGGTCGGTTGGTACACGTCACGTGACATGCAGACATATGTACTTGTATTCTGTTAGCCAGCACTTTCTATAAGCTTCACATGAGGTTGATTTATGTATATATCTATGTGCGTGTATACTTCTGCAAGATGGCAAAGACCCTAGGTGCTCATAACTATAGTGTATGCACATCCTCACATGCATGTTTTGATCCCTGGTCCTTCATTTGCAATGGAACAGGGCAAACTGCATTCAACACCAGGCAGACCAAGGACGGAATGCTGCTTTGTGGACAGTTGATTCTGTAAAACTCTGTGTGTCTTGCTAGAGAGACATCCACGTTCTTTACACTTAATTTAACTACTGACGACTTCCAAGTTGGGCAGTATTCTAGGGGGCAAATATCATAAAGAAGCGTACCTGATTCCTGCCTGAGATTGGTATTATCACTAATGGCACTTTTGAGTCCTGGAGCTGTTGGCCTTACTGCCTTTGCCTGGGTGCTTAGTTTAAGAGGACCAGTAGCTGGGCTTGGTATGAAGTTGGGTGGGTGGGATATTTGATCTCAATGAAGAAATGGAGCCAGGGCCTTGGCGGCGCTAGCTATCCTATGATGCTGGCTGAGCAAGGGCATGGGATTTTGAAGTGACTATTCCGACCCTCTGTTTATTGCTTCTCCTAGTCAAGGCGCTCTCCTCACTTTGTTTCTCCTGAGAACCGTAGCCATCAAATACGGTTCCTTAGGTCATTGCTCTCTTCGTTGTTTTTCCGTAATGACCCTCAGCTATTGGTCAACCCTTAGAAACCAGCAGCTGGCGAGAGATTATATTTTAAAGGGGAAACATGTTTTCACAAACTGAAAAGCTATCGTGCGTTTTCTCTTTTGAGGCAGAACGCTGACCATTCCATTTCAAACTTTAGGGTGAACAGAGACTGAGGTATTTCCTTCTGCACCCCGAGATTAAAATGAGAGCATATGGGAGGGACCCACTGTTAGAACTACTGCTTGGAACTTTTCAAGGCTGACGAAATACTTGAAATTTGCTCATTTGTGTTATTTATGATGTCTTGTATAATATTTTTATCATTGTGTTGTTTTATAAATGGAGGTGCAGGATATTACCTGAATTTGTAATGAATGGCCAGGAAGTAATTTTTTCTCATTCTTCTAAAACTACTACCTTTGGAAGCGCATACACAGACCCACACACACTGCACCAGTTTCTCAAGTGTAAGTCATAAGCTTAGCACCTTAGTGGCTTTTAAGTCAATATCTGGAGTGCAAAATGAAGACACTAGAGTGTGTGTGTAAAAGTCCACCATTTTAAAGATACAGGTTTTCTCAATTGTACCTTTCTATTTTTCTGGAATCTTGCTCTCAATGTCCCTAGAGTTCTTTTCCATAGACGTAGTCCACAATTCTGTCTCTCATTGACTGCAGGATGTAAAATATGTCACTCTTTTGGCCTGGTCCTCTTACAACTATCACAACCTTCACCTTGTACCTGTGCTCACAGATGGCTGTTGCACACCGGGACTGGGGAGGTCATTCTGAATGAGAAGTAAATTATTTTATGTAATACATGTTCAAGTGTGTTTTTCAATTGTATCTTCTTGTTAGATCGTCACTGGTTGGCATGGTGAGATTACCTGTTCATGGTCCATGGACAGATTGGCCCTTCCATATGCATGCCTGTTTCTATCATTCGCTTTATAGGCCTCTAAGGTGATACTCCCCATGAGGCACACACATCTTAATGGTAAGGGTAAATAAATACATCATACAAAAATATCTGCTTGCAAATACATGAATGACCTGTGGAGACATGTTCTGAAAAGCAAAGCAGCATGGTGTTGGTGACTTTAGAAAATGGCTCACCCAGTCTTCTAACTCTCCCATGCCATTTCTGTCAGGAGCATAAAATACAGACTGCATTGGATCCTGCAGCAATCTGGGACTTAGCAAAAAACCCATGTACAACTTTTGTTTCCCCCCAAATGTAACTACTAATGGCTTACTGATGTCCAAACCTTTACAGATAACATGAAGTTTATTAACATATATTATAGTGTAGGCTGCACACTGAGGGCATAGTGAGCTAAGAGGTGCTGGGCTGCTAACTGCAAGGTCAGTTATGTAAAACTTCCAGCTACTCCACGGGAGAAAGATGAGGCTGTCTGCTCCAGTAAAGCTTTAACTGTTTCTGAAACCCCAAGGAGCAATGCTTCTCGATACTGTAGGATCCAAATATGAATTTCAATCAACAGTGAGTTTGGTTTGGTTTCTGTTGTATACACTGTAGCCACCTAACAGCTACATTTGTGGTATGAGAAAAAAGAGGTAAATAATAAAATGTGCAAGTCCTTTGTGCCTGCTAGAGCCCTGGTGGCATAGTGATTATGTGTTGGGCTGCTAACTACAAGGTCAGCAGTTCAAAATCACCAGCTACTACATGGGAGAGAGATGTGGCTTTCTGCTGCCACAAAGAGTTGCAGTGTCCAAGTCCTTCCTCAACACAAGAACACTTTGTTCTAACCATCCAGCATTCTGTGATGCTCACCTTCCCAACACGATCGCTGAAGACAATATGGGTGCATAAGCAAATGTGGTGAAGAAAGCTGATGGTGCCCACCTATTAAAAGATATAGCATCGTGATAATAGTCCTATGAGCCCCTAATAACGATAAAAAAAAAAAATAGCATCTGGGGTCTTAAAGGCTTGAAGATAAACAGGCGGCCATTTAGCTGAGAAGCAACAAAGCCCACATGGAAGAAGCACACCAGCCTGTGTGATCATGAGGTGTCAATGGGATCAGATATCAGGCATCTAAGACCCAGAATAAAACCACACCCAAGGTGAATGGGGTGGAGTGGGGCATGGAGTGGAGACCCAATACCCATCTGTATATAATTGGACATCCCCACAGAGGGGTCACAGGGAATTGATGAGCCAGCCATGGTGCAGTATAGCACCGATGAAACACACAACTTTCCTCTAGCTCTTTGGTGCTTCCTTCCCCCCACCATCATGACCTCAATTCTCCCTAACAAATCAGATTAGACCAGAGCATGCACACTGTTGCAGATAAGAGCCCGCAACACAGAGAATCCAGGATAGATAAACCCCTCAGTGCCAAGAAGAAGAGCAGAGATACAAGGAGGATTAGGGGAGGGTGGGGGGAGAAAGTGGGAATCAATCCCAAGGATCAATCTAGAACCCTCTCCCAGGGGGGACGAATAATGGAAAAGTGGGTGAGGGGCGATGGAGGATGATGTAAGATATGGAAAAAGCAATCTATGAATTATCAAGGGTTCGTGAGGGACGGTGGGTGGGGGAGGGAGGGGAAAGAAATGGGGAGCTTATATCAGGGGCTCAAGTGGGAAGACAATGCTTTGAAAATGATTATGGTGGCATATGTACAAATGTGCTTGACACAATGGAGGAATGTATGGATTGTGATAAGAGATGTAAGAGTCCCCAAAAAAGTATTGAGAGAAAAAAAAGAGTTGCAGTGTCAGAAAGCCACAGGGGCAGTTCTACCTTGACATGTAGGGTTGCTCTGAGTCAGAATCAACTCAATGGCACTGGGTTTGGTTTTTGATTTGGGCTTAGCTGTAGTGAGAGCTCCAAGGTTTCCTTCTCTTTTCCCACAATAGGCCTTTGGATTCACTTACCTTGAAGTGGTGGTCAACCACAGCTTCAGACCTCAATCTACTGTACATGCCAAATCAGTGAATATCATGACTTTTCTTTGCTCCTGGGATTCCCTGCCACCATCACTAGAGGCACTTTGTATAGATTCCATGTTTGTATTCAAGGTTATAGTATTGCAATCCATGCAATGAAAAATGCATGTCAACCAAAAGAGAGGTGAACTGAATAACTTCACATGGCATTTAAAAATAAATTCAAATCTCACATCTGGAAGGTATGCTAAACAAAAATTGTAGGGAACCTAGGGGGACAATGGACCAGATTTTATGTTCCTGGGTAGACACTACGAATATGTTTCTAGCCAAGCATCATGCCATAGACTAAGCACCATGGTGACCTTGCACACTGATCTTGCAGGCAGCATGGAACAACCCAGGTTAACAAAAGACTAAACATAAAGGCCCAACATAATGAATTGAGACCTGCCTAGAAGTTGCCTGCACCCTTGGACTGAGGACTGGGGTACTCAGGAGAGGAATCATAGAGTGGCCACCATGAGACTATGAAAGAGGCAGTCATTGGACCTTGGGGGGAACCCCCAGCTTGGTGGGTGTCCAATGAAAAGGGACCCAGAATCACCGTATATTTAGTACTTCGATGATCCCCTTATAGTGACACACAGTGTGGTAGTTACATAATTTCATGTCAACTTCATACATACAGTGTAAAGGTAAAGTCTAGCCTGTCAGTCAGGTTATAGCCTGATGGTGCCTCTGTGTGGGTATAGCCTTCTCAAAAGGAGGGTCCTGGGAACCTCCCCACTCTCTCTCTGCCTTCACCTTCCTGTTGATGAACTGTGGGGAGACCTATGCCAGCCCTGTGATTCTCCCACCATCCTTGGATCCACAAGACTTTTCCCCTACTGGCTTGTGATTTTCCTGCATTCTGCTTCATTACAAGTGGCTGCATGAGTCTGAGGAGGGACTTATGGATTAGTTTCAGACTTGAGGACCTGAGTTGGACTGGGCTGGAATGTCTTCCTGAGATACAATTACTGCTTGATATAAAGTACTTTCTTACACATATATTTGTTTCTCTAGTCAACCCCTGCCTAAAAGGGATCTGCACTGGAAGACTCAATCCAGGAAGTCCCGTGTCGTGTCCCCCACCCCCCCCACCCCCCGGCCCGGCACCAATCTCCACACTTGGGATAAACACAGCTCATTCAAAAGGGAGGTCAAACTGTGCATGACAACAACTCATGGGTTGTTGCTCATGGTGTAACTACTCACACAGACTTCTCATACCAACAGTGCCCAGAGTGCTGTGCCATTGGACAAATTGATGATGTTATGAGTGCAATTGCCTTATAGCACAGGGGGATCATTGACAATGCTTTATTTGTTTATTTTATGGGTTTTGGTTTTCCTGTCTTTGCTTTGTTTGCTTGTTTGCTGGTAGGTTTGGTGGTGGTGGTGGTGTAGTTGGTGTTATAGGGTTTTGATTTTTTCATAATATGACTGCCAAAGGAAACCTGAGTTGTGCACATCCCATGGACAAGCAACGGATTCTGAGCTCCCACTTAACTCTAGCCCCAATCAAAGAACAGTTAGTTCTTATTACATGGCCTGCTTGATATTCACCTTCCGGAAATGATCACTGAAGATAAGGGTGCTACAGAAAAGTGCGGTAAAGAAAGCAGATGGCATCCAGCTATCAATCAGAATAGTATCTGGGGTCTTAAAGGCTTGTATTTAAATGAGCAGCATGTAAGTATGGAGTCAAGTAAGTCCACATGGAGGAAACACACTAGCTTGTGTAATCCAAAGATGACAATCACAAAATCCAAATATGAGGAAGGAAAAAATATCAGAGCTTAAATTGTGAACACTCAATTTGTAGAAGGTCAGTGGGAGCCCAAAATCCACCTTCAGAGTAGCTAGTTAGATTAAGCCACTGCAGATCCCTTCTAACCATAGGCAAGTATCTCAAACAGCTTTACAATCAGATAGAAATCATTGTAATCTTGAATATCCTGGACTGAACTTGAAAGTTGGTCAGTTGACCTCCCTGCTGACCCAACCTGAATTTGTTCTAGGTGCAATTATTTCGTGCTTGTTCCATGACAAAAATGTCTTCCCTGGTGTTTTAAGTATTGATGGTGGTCTTTCCTTTCTTACTCTTATTTGTATTTTTATCTTTATATTGTTATTATTTTATCCTTATCACATTAATAAATAAATATAAAATAAATTCAAAAATGAGTTAACCCATGTTGTTCAAGGGGCTTAAATTGTGTCTTCTTTTGTTCCTGACCCTCTCAATAAAGGACTGTGGCGTCCTCACTTCCAGACTTGCTAAGCAGATTTAGTGATTGACTTGCAGGTCTCAATAGGTTTTCAAGAGTTGAAGTTCACCGTGGAGGGTTCTAGATGCAGCTGGCTTCCTGACTGAGAGATGATGAGCAAGTGGAGAGGGAAGAGGCGGAGGAGAAGACAGAACCTGTACTCCTAACTGCTCAAACACTCTCCCTTTGGCTAAGTTTCTTCCTTGGGGGTGGGGATCACAGATCTGCAATCATGGCTGCTGTGTCTATTTTGTCATGGAATTCTGGCTCCCTGAATTCGTCCCTTCTTGTTTTAAGTGTCATGTTTACAAAGTATTAGGGACAAAGTGTTAAAAACATGTTTAAGTTATAGATTGTCTTAAGAATCTAATGTGTAAAAATAATGAACACCTCCTGAGAAATATACAAAACCATCCCAATTTCTCCTAAATGTTGTTGGGTGTGTTTGAGTAGATGTCCCCTCATAGTGACACCATGGGACGTGTACAATTGTCCCATGGGGTCTTCTTTACGGAAGCAGAGTGCCATGTCTTTTGTCAGCAGAGCTGCTAGGTGAGTGCCAATCCCCAAGCTTCAGGTAG